ACACTACGTCGAATCGGGGTTGGAACTTCCTCTATTACGTTAACGGTCTTGTCACGTGACTTGCGGCGAGCGATCAATGGCGGATTAGTGGTTTGTAAATGGGCGAACGATATGGACAACAGTGGGATTAGCGGTGGTTTATTCGTTTATTATTGCACTTATATTTTTATTATGGATCGGATATTTATTTGTACTGAAAGTTTTATTTGTATAAGGGACGACTTCTTTTTTTTTCTCGGGGCGGAAATGCCCTTTATTTATAATAAACGTCTTATTTACATTCGTAATCAATTTATGCCATAAATGTCAAATATTCCTTAAAAGGCTGATATGTCATTTAACGCATATATGGCCGAAGTAGCAGAAGTGACATAAGTACCATAAGTACCATAAGTACCATAAGTAACATTTTTGTTACTTTTCGCGTGACCTTGGATCGGGTAAGGATCGTTACTCAGATTCGGGCACCCGTGATCCCAAAAATCGGGCTCACAATAGGTTTAATATTGCTATATTTTCTATTTATTATATGTTTAAAAAAAAGCGTATAATGACAAATTTAAATTTTCACCATGCCGGATTTAGACTCAGGAAATTTGATAATCATTATTAATTGAATATGTTTTGGACTTTAATTAAATTTTTAATATAAACACTTTATAAATCTAATCCAATAATTAATTAATTTGGTTTGACTCTCGGTTCTGGTTCATTTCACAAAAATCTGTTCACCGACAGTACCGACAAGTTCATTTCACCGACAATACGATTCACCGACGGTACGTTTCGCTGGCAAGTTTTTTTTTATAAATTACACTAATCTTAACCCTAATTCTAACCTTACCGTTACGGCAATGACCAGAATTTCTTTGTCGACGAAATGGTTGTTGGTGAATTATATTATCGGTGAATTGAAATTGTCGGTGAATTGAAATTTTCGGTGAACTGATTGTCGATGAAATGAATGGAACCCAAACTCTCAGTGCCTATATTCAAAGCAGACCATTAGACTTATTGGATATAATATCTTGCTCATATAGATTAATGTTTCACATATAATAATGTGCAATTGGAGTAACTAGTTATATAAATTCATCTATCATCGATCTTAACGATGATTGTATTTTAAGATTTGAAAAGCAGCAGCCAATCAGAAATCGGGGGATCGCCTCATAGTTTTTGTTTACCTTGAAGTAAATTATACATAGACGTTCGAGATGGTATCACGATTGGTAAACAAAAAAAAAGACCAAAACTATAAAAATTTTTTTGACTCAATTCAAACATAATCTAAATAATATAGCAAAAGCCTAAATAAAATCAACACTTTTTTTATAGAATTGTATCGTAATATGCGAACAACGACGCCAATTAAGTTTACTTATCTTTACTTACTACAGCACTATACACAATAAAAACCTTCAATTTTGTATATCATATTGACAGTGATAATAGAACTATAGTTGGCATTTGTTGTAAGTGAAAACCGATTCGGAATGTTTATATAAAACCAGCATTTTTGGGGTTGATTGTGATCGATTTTAACATATGTACACCCTAGCCCTAATTCCAAATTCATTCTCACTTACGATACATTCATGGAAATATTATATCAAATGTTTGCACTAGCCGCTAAAAAGACATGTTGGAGGTTATCTCCGGGTAAGCGTGCAAGCTTCAGCCACATACAGGTCAAGCGACCAATTATAATTGTATATATGCGCATGCAATTTTTTATGACCAAACCTTATTTACTGAAATTTCACTTATATTCTACTATTATATGTAGAAAGATGATTTAATCCAGAAAATTCTACGCGCAGTAAACAATATCATATTCCTGTTAAAAAGCATTTATTCGTACTGAATTTAAATCTGAATTTTGAGTCACATCTCTATATAGAATAATATTAATTAATACTTACTTAATAGAACTATAAAAGCATACTGAATTCTGACCAAGTTTGGCGGAGTATGTTTTGACATATCTAGTTTGAACTTATTCTAAATTGGTTGAACAGGCCAGTTAGACTTCATAATGATATTTCTCACACATACTGTAGCATCTTTCAAATTATTAATGGGAACAATATCAGAGATTTGTTGGTTCCAATGCATATTCTATAATTCCGGAAAACAATAAGAGACCATTACTATATTTCTTTGTCTAAGTTGCTGTTGAAAATTGGTTAGGCAAACTATGAAGTACATACGTACTGCACGTATGTACAAAAATACAGTATATACACGGATGTACTATGTATATACCAATTTAGTATGTTGTCATTGCTTCCAAAAACATATAATGCTGGTACAAGATTGTCACAAAGCAGGCAACAATTGACATAGTATTGATCAAGGGTGCTTATCCCCGGAATGCATATTTCCGAAGAATATTGATATGAAAATATCTCTCATGTTTCTATAGGATCGGGTCCATGTCAGGCGTTTAGTTTAAAATTTAGTTTCTCTGGAAAGGCAATTTTAAATAAACTTGAATGGCGCGACCATACTTCTACAGTTTGTTTTCTGTTTTTCCGAAAAGCATCACGTATAGTATTGCATCAATTGTGCGAAAATTGCCGTGCCGGATGAACCAAAAAAAATTTTTTTTTTTTCTTTTGCTTTAATAAATCAATTAAATATACTAATTGAAAAATTTTTTATTTAAAGGCGATGTCTAGATCTTTAAATCCTCACAATACAATCTTCAATACAAATGTCATATTTATTAATGACAAAATCGGGAGAAATTCAATTTCCATTGAATATTTCTTCCGAGATGGGAATCTATAAATCCCTTAACGAAAATTCATTTTGTAATGAATTATTCAGTAGGCCACCTTATCCCTTAACTCTCGAAGTCGACGACTTAATCGCGCCATCAAATCCTCGAAAAGCCAAGAAACACCAAAAAAATCCGTATTTATCTCCTCCAAGGCCGCAAAATTCTTTCTTTTTATTTCGAAGGGATTTTGCTGCAAAGTTGAAGCAAAAAGGAGTGAAATTGAAGAACAGCGAAATCTCACAATTAGCGGCCGCGGAGTGGCATAAACAACCACAAAACGTTCTTTGTTTTTTCGAGGTTCTCGAAAATTTGGCAAAAGAAAAACATAGTCAATTATATCCAAATTATAAATTCACGCCTAGAAAAGAAAAGTCAAAAAATTCCGAAAAATCACCAAAATATAATGTAACTGATAATCTCTCTGAACAGAAATGTTTAAATTCCGAGGAAATTTCATCAAATCTGGACACTTCGAAAAATAACTCGCTCTCTGAGATCTCTGATCAAAGCCTTGATCAAGGAACCTTCGATATCTCAGATTTTATTGAATTTGATCCAATTACCTTTTAACGTTAGCATAAACGATTTCTTTTAAAAATCGATAGTGAATTTAAGCAATTTTTATTGTTTATAAGTTCTTATGCAACAAAATATGTATTATAGTATAGGAAAATATGAAAATGATATTATACTTCTCTCTTATATTATTACTAATATCCAAATCTAGATAAGCCTTAACCACTCTTGTAGGTTTAGGTCACAGATCATATGTCTAAGTTTTTATTCTTTATATATAATTTAAAAGCAAGCTTTTTTTCATATGTTTACGTAAAAAAAAAAAAAAAGGGAATATATTAGGACACACACACAAAAAAAAGTCTATTTTATTGTCAATTTAGGAAAACAACAATTATGAATATACCGAAAAATTAGTGTAAAAGAATAGATATATGTTATTATGCATTTTAAGAACCTTTCAATATTAGTCACTACGCTGACAATTCTTAAAGATTCTAAAATCAAATATTTCTAATCGTGATATAACAATATGGTAGTTAGTTTGTTATAGTAAATATATATATGAATATATTGAATCTTTGCTAGTGACAAGGTCGAAACGGCGAGTGGGATTATTTATTATTGTAGGTATTATTATATAGTGAAAGTAGAGTATTATTAGAAGACAAATTTTATTTGGATCACGAACAATGAATGTCTTCTTCGTAGGGCTCGAAGCCTTTATTATATACTTTTTTTTACATAAGGCGCATTATACACTCTATTCGTGATATATCACTGATATTACTTATAAGTATATACTAATTAAAATGTTTATACTGATTATTATAATTATATCCTTTATTTCACTAATTCCCTTATTACGTTGATATCCATTAACAGCCTGATACAGAGTATACAGCAATACAATGTATACTGCCATTAGAGATGGGCAAATCGCTGTTTCTTCAAAAATCCCGCACGGGATTCAGCCACGATTTCTTCACTAAAAATTCGTGTAATTTTTTCTAAATTTTTGGTCATTGCCGTTGGCCAATCAAAATAGTGAATTTCCACGTATTTTTTGCAAGGTTTAATCGCAGTAATTACATTAAGCACGTCCTTGATTAAAGTTTTCATCTGATCCGATTTTTGTATGATTCCAAATGTCATTATTACTACGCATGTTATATTTATTTTTAAAAGAGTGACTTAATCATAAAGAATATTTTTGTAACGTAAGCAAAAGATACCAACGGCAAAGAAGGTAAATTCTTATCATATATATAAATAAACATATGTGTGAAATGGTATAAATCAATTTTAATTAGGAATTAGCTAAATATGTTAATGCTAGCCAGATATTATATTAATGCTAGCCAGATGTTATGGTAATGCCGCCCGATAATCTTATTTTGGGATCATATTAAAAATCCTCATTTTAGGTAGGTGATCGACATAGCCGTTAATTCGTTAATGCGCCACACCGATCACCGCTTCACCGAGCTTCCTCCTACGTACAGACGAATAACGGGCTTTCATTGCAATTATCTGATTTTTGTAGATCATCCCGTGATTTCGTCTCTCATCGAGGAGGTGTTTTAGCAATAAATATAATGAAATAATTTTTTAAAAGGCGAAAGTGGCGAAATTCTCACGAAAGAAAACTAGTCCGTGCATAGTTTATTTATTCTTCTGTAACATGTGCACCTTGGCTGCACTAGGACTAAGAAAACAGTGCGCGAATACCCTAATTGAATTTGGCGATTTCAATAAACATTAAAACGTGCATTAATTAAAAACGTAGTAGAAGCTGTTATGGCTTATTCTGTAACTATTACTATATAGATTTAACAACATAAGCCATAACCAATTTTTTGATATTGATATCTTTAAAATATTATTTATAAATAATGGTTTTTATTTGTTGCGAAGTAAAATCTTCTAAATATATGTAATAAGAGTTATTTATTAAGCTACGCTATGTCTTTATTTTAATGAACAAAGATAACAGGTTTATATCAAACCAAATTTAAGCAATACTATGTAAACAATCTAGTAGAATTTCCATAACTTATTCAAAGTACGTTGAATTGAACATCGAACATTGTATTTAAAGCCTAAAAACTGGGCTTTTTGTTTATAAATGTTCTAAATAAATCTTGAGCCTTAGCTAACAAACTGTTTGAGTAACTACATAAAATTGAGATTGCTATTTAGTTAAGCCGATGTAAACACTGCATGATAAATAGTATTCTAAGCTATATTTGATTAAATATAAAATTGTATACGAGGTGTAAGATTCTTTTCAAAAATGATTAATGAAGGTGAATATTCACAAACATCGAAGTTTGAATATGAAGAGCAAAAAATTGAAATGGAAGTTAAACCAACTAAACCACATAATGGCAAGAAAATAGACAAATTTTTGCTATCACCAAATAGTAAGTACGCAGTGACATTAAGTGAAGATGATTGTTCAATTTGTGGGTGGCAACTTGACAAAGGTCAACATATAGAACAAACAGAAGACGAATCACATCAACCTATATCCTTCGAGTATGTTCATTTCGTGAATCTTAGAGAAGAGATTGACGATACAAGTTCTATAATGCCATGTACGGTTTCAAATAATAAAGATGTAATACTAAAGACTAAATCTGAAATAGCTGGTAAGTGAAACATATAGATTAATTGATTGATATTATTCGTGCTGCTTAAAATTAATCTCCCACCAATATTTATTCTTTAAAGTCTTTAATATTGTCACAAAAAAGACAGTAAACCTAAAATTATATCCATATTCAAATGATATAGACATTTCCGATTGTAAATTTTGTAATAGTGGAAGCCTCATAATGAGTGCAAGATATAAAGAAGAGATAATGTATCTTAAAGCTTCATTAATTAATTCAAATAAGCAAAGCTGGACGATTAATAATTCAATTTTCTGTGGAAAAGACAAAGATGCAAGGCATCCTTACTTAATAAAGAACGATGAAAAGAAAATGCTTTTTGATAGATGTGGGTCATTAACACAATGGAATTAAATACATTGTCATTTGAAAAACAATATCAATTACATATAGCTCATCCTTATATTGACGAAATATGGTACTTGATTTGGTGTAGCTGCATTTTCAATAAAGATTTTACGTTACTTGCAGTACACTTAGAAACACCAGAAGTAGGAGGTATTATTTACGTTTATTCGGCAGAAAATTCGATTCTTTTATCGCAATGTAGGTTATTAAGTTTGTATATCACTGTTTGCAAAAGGTGTTAATAAAATCCTAATACCTTTCTGTATAACTATTAATATGATGAGTTTATTAAATTAAACCAGTGATGTTTAACTATAGTTGAGATTTTATACACTAAGCAATAACTCCAAAAACTTAATACAATCCTAATCCTAAATTAATAGTAATGGTAAAAATTTTCTATAATATATATAGTACAAACATCACTGGTTCATTTACCAAAATTTTACTTATACTTATCATCAATTTTATAGGCCAAATTGAAACTGATAAAAGATTACATGATTTTAAATTTATTTCATCCAATGAAGCGGAAAGATTACTTTTGTTTTATAAAGATACACTTGATGTAAGAGATCCTTACAATCTTCAACATGATGTCATCAACGATGAATATATTTCAAATCTGTTTACAGAACTTTTAAATGAAAAAGATTCAACAACAATAAATATTTTGAATGCAGATTTTAAAACATTGATAGATGAAAAAATATATTGCATACCAGATGGATATTTATGGATTCAAAAAGTTTCTAAAAAACAATGGATCAAATATTTAAAGGGAAAGCTACAAGATTTTAATCAAATGAGAATTCTACCTAGCAAATCTCAAATAGAAAAAATTTTGCAAAGACTTTTAAAGGAAAATGAAAATTATGAGATGGAGGAGACTAAATTGTACGAAGGATCATTCGTGAAATGGGAAGTAAATAGCAAGGAAAAAGAAATAAAAGCTTGGAAATTTAATTCGAATACTTGGGAATATGTAGACAGTGTAAAATTAGAAGATATTAGTTTAAAATATCAAAAAAAAAATACATGGTATATTAAATCAATAATGACGCATTTTTATATTTGTGATTTGTTGCATAATGATGATTTAGCAGTAATTGCAAGTTCCGGCTTATTTATATGGTCAATTTGGAAAAAAGACAAAATTAGACTACTATATTATATAATTGACGAGGATTTTGAGAGCTTTAAAAACTTGTTTAAAAACCAAATAAACCTTACAAATTTATTGGATAAAATAATAAAGTATAAAAAAATTTCATTACCTGCTCCAGATTTTGATTTTCTTATTTATTATAAAAAAACGGAAACGGAAAATATATTTTTTAAAAAATTTTTAGATGAATTACTGGATGATTACATTGAAGATAATATATTAATGAAATTATATGGGCAAGAACTTCTAAAGTGCTGTTTAAAGTTTCAACATTATTCATTAGCAGAGAGATTATGTAATAAAATATGCAATGAAACAAATTTAATGAAATTACATGGAGGTGAATTTTTAAAGAGTTTTTTAAAGCCTCAATACTATTCATTAGCAGAGAAATTATGTAGTAGAATATTTAAAGAAACAGAAAAAGAGAACCTTTTAGAGAAAATTCAATTTTTAGGAATTTTTACATTTTCATTTGTAGAATTAACACAATTTCCTCAATTATTAAACCGATTTTTATCTTATACTTTATTTATTCATTCAACCAATAGCTATGAAGAAATTAAATTGAACAAATTTTCTTCAAAACCATATCTTCAGAATCATATACAATATTTACAACCTTCTTTTACTAGTAATATTAAAAGATATTTACAACTTTCTTTTACTAGAAATATTAATGAAAAGATTAAACATCTTTTTACTTTATTGATTTCTAAAGATTCTACTCAAGTAATTATACAGAAAGAAATAGAACGAATATTTTATAAAGAATTTCAAGTTATAGTTTTAATTTTTCCATTACCAAAGTTTAGTTCTTATACTCTTGATTATAATTTTTGTAAAGAGTTGATTTTTCCTAAACCTAGTATTTTTTCTAAGCATCAATTTCCTGAACTTTATAAATATTGGTGTGGTGAAGCTCTTCTTAATTTTAAGTGGAATGCCTATGGAAAATATTATTTTTTTGCTATTTTCATTTTTTACCTTATTTTTATGCTCAGTTTTCTAATAGTTGCTACAATTGAAGGATTATCAGATAATATACAAAATTTATTGTTAATTGCAAATATTATTTTTGGAGTTTTGCATCTTACCTTTGAAATTCGGCAATGCATTTTTTCTCCTTTATCTTGGATTACTGAAATTTGGAATTATTTTGGTATTATATTTTTAAGAACTATTGTAACGCACCCATAAGATCAGGTGCAACGTGAAATCCAGATCGGTCAGGGTTGAATATTTGGTAAAGAATGTTTTTATACCAAAAATCTGCAAGGAATTTTTTTTATTAGAACATAAAAGGTTCATAAGCTAACTTATGAGTTTAGCCGTTTATAAAAAAATCTCTATTTTTCTTCGATTTTACGTTACACCCGATCTTACGATCTGATTGGTTGATCAGGTAGGTGCGTTATAATGCACATGCACTAAATTATATAACTCTTTTTTTAATTAAATTTACTAAATTTGTAATTTTATCTAATTAATAATTACATTTTAAGATGTAGGAGCAATATTATTTCCCGTATTAACTTCTATCGATTGGTTACGATTCTCTAATACTCCTACCTGGGCTATAACAATTTCTATATTATTACTTGAACTTAAATTTATAACATTTTTTCGTGCTATTGAATTTGGTGGTACCTATTGGGCAATGATTATTGGAGTTATCAAACATTCGTTGTCATTTTTTGTAATAATTGGCCTTATTATGTTTGCTTTTGCACACTCTTTACATGTTTTATTAAGACCGACAACTGATATTTCAAATAATCCAAATAATTCAGAAGAATCAAGCACTAATATGTTTACAAATTTAGATACAGCATATTTGGCTGTATATATGATGCTAACAGGTGTTTTTTAATTATCTTTTAACAATTATTGTTATACTTATTTATAATTACATCTTTATAATTGTATACTTATTTATAGGCGATTCATCTTATGTGTCAAATTGGGCATTAACTGAAAATTTGACACTAACATTTTTAATAATTCTTTTTTCTTTCTTTACAACTATCTACTTGATGAATTTGTTTATTGGATTGTTGTCTGATTCTATCAGTAACACAAACAAAAAAGAACTATTTTTACTTCAAAGAGCAAAGGTAGTATTTTTATTAAAATGAGTGCCGTCAAGGAAAACACATCCAGTTTGTTCTCTGAGTGTTGTCTAGGAAAAATTTATCATCGGGTTTTCAATAATATTTATTGACAAGTCATTATAAATATAATCGAAAGTTCGATGATAAATTTTTCTAAACGACACCCAGAGAACAAACTGGGCTCAAATATTGTATATATTTTGTTTACTTTTAAAATTTTAACAATTCTTGTACTTTTAAATAGATCATATCAGAAATAGAACTTTTTTATATGCTACCTTACCAACGAAGAAAAAATAATTGGTTTCCTGAGCTATTGTAAAGATTAATTTATTACAATTTATTGTAAAAGATTTGTTTAATTTTAATATTAATTAATTTTTAAAGATTTTACAGATTTACTCTTGATAAACTTTATAATATAGTCACTAAAATACAAAATGATAACTGGGATGATGATACTATTGAAGCACCATTTCTTCCTAAGTCGCTATTAAAAATCATTGGTAAAGCTGAAGATAAAGATGCGATTCAAAACTTAACCGATGAAAAAATGATAATCCAAAAATTAGAGGAAACTGAAAGAATAATTCAAGAGCTAAAAAATATTCTTGAAATAAAGGTTGAATAAATAATTATTATAAAACGCGTACCTATGGTGTTTTGCACCTATTATATGTTTTTATTATGATTTTTAAATTTTTTCACGTTAGAATTGGTTTTTAAGCTAATATTAAGGTTTGGGAAGGGTTTTCAGGGCGTAGAACATTTTTACTTAGAACACCTCGTACTGATTAATTAGCCAGTTTTTGAGATAATGCTTGCATAAGTGCAAAACACCATAGGTGCGTTTTAATAAAATTTAAATAAAAATTATTTTAGCCATTTTTATTTTTGTTTAAAAATTATTAAAACCACATAATCCATATAATTTATCTAAATAATTTATATACTTTATTATTATTCTTACTAAGCACATTTATTCGAGATTAGGGCACTGGAATAATTCTTCAAACATTGATGCCTATAAATGATCTCTAAAGAGTTGATTACATAATATTGAGTTTTGTGTCACATTTATATCTACGCGACTCACTAGCATAACCGGTAATATCCTATTTTGAAATAAATCGCAATACAAATAAAATATATAATAATCTTTGAAAAGGTTTGATTAACATGCTATCGAGAGTTTTGAGTTAATCAACAGTGATAAAAGTAGTTCATGAGAAGGAGCCGCTACGTCTGTTATACCTTCCTACCAAATTTTCGCTCAATACATAAAGATTCTCGCATGACATCATGCATAACATGCATAAGTGCTATGCCCGAAAAGTCACTTAAAATTGGCCCTAAAACATAGATATAAGTTAATAAGAATGTAGATCATAAAATCACAATCAGAAACAAGATTTTGTGGACGTACGTTGTACCACGTTCCCGGTATACGTAACACTCTGTTCCTGATATAATTGTAGTTATATTTCTATGCGGCTTGATAACCGAAATTACAATCGCATTTTTTTTTTGCCTTTTTTGATAGCGATGATTGATACTTACAGTACGTGATATTACACCAAACTAATGTACGACTTAATTCAGTAATTAATTTAGCCAAGTGTCCCTAATAACGCACATAGATATTAATTCTCTATCGCTATATTGTTTTTTTTTCGATGTGGATTTGGTTGGTTAGAAAAAATCAACCATAGACCAATCCTTCGAAGTTTAACAGTTTCTATTTATTGGATATATATAAATACTACCAATACCCTTGACAGAAGTAATTAAATTGGTCAAATTGATCCCTGATTGTAATCATGGGCCAAAAAAAAATTATAAGCAAATCCGAAAATAGCGATACATAATAACAACAAAAATAACTAAATCCATTGATAATGCAGATGTATTTACAATTGCCAATGCAAAATAATTGTCGACTAATACAAGGAAATACTTAAATCTATTATACTTTTTCTCAGCCTCAATCGAATTAGAAATAGGTTTATCAGTAAATGTACCGACTAGCGAATAATTAGTATTTTATTAGCAACTGACATTTGTTCATTTATATTCATAACTTTATAATTTATTATTTAAAGATCCCGTCCTGCCTTTCTAAAAAATTTCAGATTCATTATATCTCGAAAAAAGCACTCATGTCTGACCGATCACTCGGGCCTTTTCCTACTCCTGAGACCTATCACCCAGTTATTCAGGGGCTGATAAACATGATTAAACGCAATTCCTGGGAGGACAAATTTGTTAAAGCGGTTTCCGACGCCCACAAGACAGGTGTCGAAGATATGGTTAATATAATAACTTTGACCGACTACTACAACTTTCTTCATTACTTGGTGTTGTGGGTGCCCACAGAGAATGAAACAGGATCTCTCGTTTACAATATGCTTTGCACAATGTACTTTGTTCTCGATCAGAAATCTGTCAAACCACTCCAGTCACCCATTAAGCCTTCGTCGTATCCACCACCGCCATTGACGGAGCTTTCGCAATGGATAATCTATTTTGCCTGTGTGATGGGACAATTTCTCAATACACCTCAATCACTTACTGAAGAATCTCTGAAGACTTTTTATATGTCGAATAAGTACAACATGAGTATTTATGAGCCTCCCCGAGATGGCTGGCGTTGTTTTAACGATTTCTTCGCGCGAAAACTGTTGCCAGGAGCCCGACCCATTGACAGCCCTTCTGATCCAAGGGTTATTGTGAGTGCCGCAGATTCAGAGTTTCATGGCTGTTGGAATATCAATGCTCATTCAATTGTCACTTTAAAACACATCCCCTGGACTATTGGCGAGTTACTTGCAGACAGTAAGTACTCAAGTGAATTTGCCGGAGGAAAATTTATGCACGCATTTCTTTCACCAGTCGACTATCACCGTCAGCATGCTCCTGTCGATGGCAAAGTGCTCGAAGCTAAAGTCATCCCAGGCCAAACTTATCTCGAAGTTATTGTTAAAACAGACTCCAGGAACAAACTGATACTCACACCTAGTCGAAGAATAATAAAACCGGATCAGCTAAAAGCTGAGATCGATGCTCCGGACTCTCCAGGGTATCAGTTCTGCCAGGCACGCGGTCTGATTGTAATCGAATCACCGAAAGTTGGATTAGTGGCTGTTTTACCAATTGGTATGGCTCAGGTGTCTTCTGTGGTCCTAACCACTCGAGTAGGGGCTGAAGTAAAGAAAGGAGATGAAATATCTTATTTTCAGTTTGGTGGATCTGATGTTGTCCTTTTATTTCAGAAGAATGTTGAAATAATTGCTAAAGTAAACGAACATTATAACGTGGGCAACCAGATTGCAGTTGCCCATATTGCTGAATAATAACAAAATAAGAATATGTAATTTTTTACATTAATTAATATTAAATTCTACAATATTCTGTGATCTATGTAATCTAAATAAAGCAAGGTTTTATAAAACCAAGCATAAATTATTATATATTTTAGAATTTGGTTTATAATTATATATGATAAGTTGGTCAAATCTTATAGAGGTTTACAAAAAAGTGTGATTTTATGATTGCATGATTTCATTAAATGACCAGTAATTGGTCATTTCAAAACTAAATGACCCGGTAGAGTCATTTAAAATACAGTATTTATATTTTATTTGTAAAGATGTGATTGGTCTATTTTTGTCGTAGCTAATATTGACTGATGCTGAGATTTGGGATCTCAATTGAGTTCATTAAACTCACATATACTCTTTATTAACAATTCTAACCATGAATCCTAATCTAACCCTGAAAAGAACCCAAAAAATGTTTATAATTTCATATCAAAATAGTGTCAATTCTTAGCATCAGTCGATTTAAGATTCAGCTGCGATAATTATTTGATTGAGTAATATATGAGTGCTGTCAAGGAAAAACCCACGAAGTTAGTATGTCCTAAAATATATTACATTTCTGGGTTTGATTAATATTCAGTGGTTTTTTTTTTTAATTATTGCTTATCTCTCTAATTTAAAGCCGAGTTTGTGGTTTTAAACGTTTTTGGATGGTCTAAACGATAAGCTTGATCATGTTTGTTGCGTTTGTAGTTAAAATGTTTTTGGTTGGTTTAAATGGTAAACGTATCTCTGTTTTTTTAGGTGTGTATCGATCAATACGTATGATATACTTGATTTTAATTTAATACATGCGTACATACGTGTGACTTGATATCTGATATACAATGTATTGCTTAATTCGTTACAAATCGAATAAAGTGTAGATTAGTCAAAGACTAATAGTAGCAGCAAGTCTGACTTGAGATACAAGTTTATTGTAGATCTTAGATCATTGTCAGAAAACTTTAGAGAAAACAATAACAGGTATATTAAAAATGTAAGATCACAAGAATTAGACATATCTGAGTAGGATTAATTTGGAAGTAGTATAATAATAAAAAAGTAAGAAATATAGAAAACAAGATATTATTAAATATAGTTATATTAGGAAGTAGAAGAAACAAGCTTAAGTAAAACATGTAGGTAAAACTCATGTATATAATTACAGAAAACATTATCTTTAGTAGTAAAATACCATATTAAGTTTTAGAAGTATTCTTGTCCGTGTAGTGATTTATTAGTATGTTCTAATTACAAATAGTTGTCAAGATAATCATATACAGACACAAACTAAGGTGTCATATAGGTAACTGGATAAAGTCAGTAAAATAAAATTAGGATAACTAATATAGTATTAGTAATAATCTGGTAAATATAACTTTAAAATTATATTATATTAAATTTAAAATCTAATAAACCAATTAACAGTATTATTGAAGTTTGAAAATATATATATATATTATTAATATTAAGAGTTTTACATATTTTTAATCATAACTTTTGATACACTAAACCAAATTGGATAAAAAATCATTATTAGATTCAGCTCACTAAGACAGTTTTAATATGTATAAGATCATATGATTTTGATCATAAGATCAGGATAATTTTAATGAAGACATTAATTCTAGTACATGTGACTTAATTCTGATTGGCTTCCATTACTATGCTAGAAATTTTATATTTTTTATAGATTTTATAGATCTTACAAATATTACAGATATTATATTTCTATTAAATCTATCATTTTTATCATATCTACAATATCTTTTATATCTATCATATATACAATATCATTATATCTTTTAGTTCTTATATATCTTAACATTACTATATATAATATTTATTAACAAAAGAGTAGTCTTTATAGTAATTATTTATATATATAAAATATCTATAAAAACACTGTTTTTTGATCTTTTAATTAAGTTAAATGTTTCTACACTTTATATAAATATCTTCATATATTTAAGAAATGTTTTTATATATTTCAATAGTTAATAAATTAAATACAATATTTAGTATCTTTATATATTATCTATTGTTGTCTTTGTCTTAAAATACCCAATCACTCTATATATAGTTAAGTCTTATTGTAGTCTTTGTATAGAATCTGTCAAGTTATAGTTATCATACTATAATTGAACAGTTTCTTTTATTGTTATAATAATAGAAAAACTATAAATTAACAATATTTAATATATTTAAGATATTTGAAATTTATAAAATTCATATAAATTATAAGATTTAAAACTTAGCTTATTTAATA